CTTGATGAAACTTCAAAAGCAAATATTGAACCTTTTCTCCTATTTGCGTTCTCTTTCCCTCACAACTTCTTAACCTAGTTACTTGAGTTATAATACATTCATATGCACATATATTTATATAGTACCATCAGCATGAAGAAATTAGAATTTGAAAAAAAGAAAGAGAAAAGGCAAAATAGAAAAAGAAACCTAATAAACAATAAAAGAACTAAAGAAGCATAGGAAGTAGGGACTGGATAGAGTGAGTGAATCACAGACAAATAAATGCCTAGATTTGTCATTACAATTTCTAAAGTAAGGGATCAAAATCGAACGTGTTATCATACTATTTGTTCATCACAAAAACAAGAATACAAATTATCCAACTAGTAGTCTCTATTAGGGGTGTTCATGGGTCAATTTGGCGATAAATTTGGAACCAACTCAATCATAATTGGTTCAAGTTTTTGGACCCAAGACCAAACCAATCATGTACTAGGACCAAACCAACCCAACCCAATTTGGTTCGGGTTGGTTTGAGTTGGAACCACAATTCCACTATATTAAAACTAAGCAAATCAATCAATAACAAATAATTAAAATAAACAAATCTTGAACATTTAAACATAACACAAACTAAGAGAAAAATATTATTTAATACAAGTTGATACAAATTAAATCCAATTCAAGCTTAAATATACTCAATACAAATTAAATCCATTAATACAACAAATACAAATTAAATCAACTGTAAAGTCTGACTCAAGGTTTAAGTACTTCCTTTGTTTACCTAATAATTCTTATTTATAGAAAATTATTAAGTGTAATATTGTATTTATTAAACTATCTGCCTAAAAAATTTACTTAAATAATTTCGCACATCTTAAGACGAATTAACGAAAATATTTATTGACATTATCATTGACTAAAAATAAGGTGTTTCATGACCAAAACAAGCATATCGACAAAAATATCATTTCATTAGAGAGTGTGCCCAAGAAATAGGTGGAACTTAAGTTTGTTAAATCACAAGATAAAGTTTCTGACATTTTCACCAAATCTCTTTACAAAGATGTTTTTCACAAATTAAAGAGATTATTTGAAATTGCAAAAAAATAAGTTTAAAGAGTCTTGAAAAAATAAACTTATATTTTATTATTTTGAGAATTGTGTTTTTCTTACATTAAGTTCATACATTTAATAGGGTTAGTGGTGTGTTAATTTACAAGTAATACATTTAATAGGACTAGTGGTGTGTTAGTTTACAAGTAATGAAAGAGTCATGTTAATAGTGAGTTAATATTTTAGTTGCTACAAAGAATAGTGGAGAAAGTGGATGTTAATATTAAAATGTCATGAGTAATGAGGACTTGTAATCTAACCATGTCATATTTGTGAATAAAAGTGTTCTATTTTCTCCTCTAATTATTTCTCAAATTATTTGAGTGATTATTATATAGCTTTCTTATTTCTAGCAAGTTTATGATATACATTCTTAAAGTGTGTATCATCATAATAATTTATAACAAAATTATACTAGTTTATTACTTTTCTCACTATAATGGTTTGTAATTTTTTAATGTTTATAATATAATTACAAAGTTCTTAACATAATTACTATAGTTCGTAATTAATTTGTTGAATGGTAAATTCCTAAGTAAATAATTAGAAAGTTTTAAATTCGAGTCTTTACTTCGCTTGATATGTGAAACTAATAGAAAAATAGAGAGAATGATATGATTGGATGTTTTAACTTTTCAACTATTTAAACCAAAAGCCAACACCTTAAACAGGGCTTAAGTCTCACGGAAAGTTGGATCAAAGAATCATAATCAATACTTTTCTTTTGGTGCACCCCTTCGTAATTTATGCCAGAATGATTTATAACTAACAACATAATAATTCATAATTTTTCTTTTGATTCAAACATAGTAACAGTATCCTTTCCTTAGAGAGTTTGTATGAATTTAAGGGGGAGTTTGGCGTTGACTTTTTAGTGAACTTTTTAGAATATAAAAAATTGATGGGTTTAAAAGATCGTTAAAAAAGTTATTTTTTTTTATGAGTGAAAAAATTGAGTGCTTTTTATTTTTTAGTTGATTATAAATAGATTTTTTAACGTTGGCTAAATTAAACTTACTTACCCTTTGGAAAAAAATATACTACAAATTTCTTTAAAATTTTAATTTATATATTATTTTTAGGGGTTCTAAAAGAACAGTAATAATAATATGTCAATGAGTCAATAATCTAGGGTGACCGGAGAGTGAGTAGTCAGGTGAGAGTAGAGCAAGTGGTTCAAAGAGAGAATGTGGCAGTGCAAATAGGCGGCATATCCCTTCAAATCCCAAGAAGTTTTCTTCTTTAGCATTAGAAAATGGATCCTATTTATATGCTTTTCCTTGGCACTAGAATATACTAAGTGGCCAAACAGTGTAGCGACATGTGTCACAAGATATTCTATTCTGAACCATTAGGCCTTGGTAGACACATGTCCCTTGACATGTGCTATCTGTTTAGCACAAGATCTCAGCAAGTGCCATTGTACTATCTGTTTGGCACGAGCCTTAGCATATACCTTTTTGGTACGAACCTCAGTAAGTGCCATTGTTGCTGTAGTATCTGCCTTCTCAGCTTTGGTTTCCTAAGCTTTGCATTTTCAGGACTCATGACCTGTTATCAGCCACATTTGTGTCTACCTTAACAATTTCTTCACCTTTAGCCACCTAACCACAAACTTCCCAACTTTTCAAGACGCAGGCCATAACAAGGGCTATGCCTCGTACCAAGCCTAAGGGGAGCTTCCTTGGTCTTGCCTGTGCAACCAAGGTAGCTCTTTGACCTGGGTAAATGGAAATTGAGTCCCTTGCTTTCGGGTTATACTGCTCCCATCTTCGCGGGGTTGTCGCGGTATATTGGTGTTTCTAACGCTTACTATACACTTCAACCAGTAAGCGTTGGGACCTGCTATCAGTACCAATTTATGTGTGCCTCAAGCTTGCTATTAGCCTTAAGCTGCTAATGCTTTGGGGCCTGCCATTTGCGCCAAACATCTGTACACTACGTTGTATAGAAGAGGTCTCCCTCTAAGGCTGATATCACCTTGGAGAGTTGCGCTTCAGAAGGTAGTTGCGGAGGTTGAAGTTGCCTTGGTGTTCTTCTCCTCAGTAAGTGTCAAAGGCGGAGCCACAATACTCTAGTTAGGACGGCGGTGTTAAGGTGGGTTTTGGCTCAGCAACTGAGCCTCGACTAATAGTGCCTCAGTTAGTTCCCTGGGACACTTTTGGGTCGAATCTGGTTTAGTCTTTTGATTGGCCCATTTCTCTTGGGTTTTGACTCATTCAGTTAATGATTACTTATTCGCCTATAGGCGACTCTCATGATTAGGTTAACCATTTAAATTCCGTCCCTCTACATTATTGAGCCCCTTTTCATAAATAATTTAGTAGTAATATGGACAAAAAAATAATATTGTGATCTCTTTTATATTGAAATATATATTTTTTCTTATTTATGTTTATATTTTAATACTATTTATATAAATTTTGATTTCTTTAATTTTACTAAAAGGTAAGTTGTTATAATTATATCAAAATTTTAAAACAATTTATATTTTATCTAAATTTTAAGAATGGTTAGTGTAATTTTCCTTTTTAACCATTTAACTTTATTTAAGTCATCCAAACAGAATCTTAGGACAATAATAATTGCACCGAACTTTCTTCTAGGGATTCTGAATGCGGTGGTCCCATCCAATTCCACTGTTTTTGGCAATGCTAGCTTACTCAGCATCTTCAATATTTCATATGCTTTTTCTTAGAAAAAATATATTTAAATTTTATAACAAAATAAATTATAAGTCTTTAATTTTATTAATTTAAATTTTAAATTTATTTTTAATCTGAATTATTTATCTACTTTTGTTAAATAAAATTGATAAAAAAATATTATTTTAGTCATTAAACTCAATAAAAAATATTTTAGATATTTTATATATATCTATATTGTGTTTTGTGACTAAAATATTTTTTTTTTAATTGGTTTTATTTGACGAAAATAAGTCAATGATTTTAGATTGAAAACATATCAAAAGATTAAGATTTAAATTGATAAAATTAAAAATTCAGAATTTATTTTATATAAATGCTTACAGATTGAACTGTGCCAATTTTTTTAATTATTTTATTTAAGTTGATAGTGATACTGGAAACAGCTGTACATAGTAGAAAGTTCAATTGCATTATGGGCAATGTATGTAACTGGGGAGCCATCGTGTATGCTCAGGGTTGAAACATAATAGGTTAGAATCCAAATAGGTTATGATATTGATCTTTGATAATCAAGGATGACAAAACAATTGAAAACAAAACCTCCTAGAAGTTTGTTCTAATTGGTGTTAAAATGGGGAGTTGGTAACCCACCTGTTTTATTTGTGGTATAATAGGAGCTACTGTGTGCTTTGGTTGGTGTTATACAGTGAAAGGAGTTAGGTGGTTGATGGGGATGGGTTAGTCCATGTTGAAAGGGATGAAGGTATTAATGTGTGGGACCTTTATGCTTGATGTGTGCTGTATTTGGGGAGAAATATTGGCGATCTTTTGATTTATAGAAAATATGTGTTCTTGTATGTATAAATGTTTAGAGTAATGATTCATCCCCCCTTTTCTCCCCACCCCCTTTGACCCCCTCTCTCTCTCATTGGTTACATTTTCTTTTTCTTTTTCTTTTTTTTCCTGTTCCTCCAATCACCACCTGCCACATGGCAAAGGGGGGGTGAGGGGGTGACCCCCAAAAGGGGGTCCCAAGCATTATTCAAAAAAAAAAATACAACACGGGACCACTGCCACCTAATTAGTGGTATTAGTGCTCCCAAACATTTTTCAAAAAAAAAAAAAAATCAAACAATACCTTAACACAACGGCTAGTTGGGGTCCACCATTCTTGCCGTTTCCCCCTCAATCTCTGCCAATCATGTCCTTTCTTCCCTTTACTTTTCCCAGGAAAATGGCACCCATTGGACCAGACACTTTTACATTGTTAAAGAAGAATACCCTTTTTCTGAACCTACAGTTTTCTTTTCTTTTCTTTTTCTTTTCCATTTCTTTGCAAAGAAAAACCCCATTCTGTTCTACATTTGAGAGTTTTCTGTGGCGATGGAGAAGCAGCTCTGTTGCTTTCAGTGGATTTCTCTGTTCTGTAGTCTAATGCTTGCAGCTGTTGCTTCTTCAAAGCAACATGGTAATCTATTCTAGCTTCTTCTTTTTTTTTATTTGGTTTCTTTAATTATTATCATAGCATCTGCTCAAAATCTCTCTTAATTCATGTTGGTTTGTTGATGGCAATTAGAGATATTGTTTGATTTGATATAATTATTTTAAGAGGTTCATTACTTGTACTGCTAAATGGATGTCTATGCTTGGTGCTTTTAATTCTTTGAAATGGATGCTTTAAAAAATATAAATAAATAAAAGCTCTGTGGATATTCTCCTCTGTATGAAGGTATTTTGCAATTAAGTTTGCTGTATTAGGGGGAAATGTTAAATGGTGATGGGTTCACTTTTATATGCAAGAGATTTACATTTGACAGTGATCAAGCATGAATTTGGAAGAATAAATGAGTATATATATGGGTCTATAGGATGAGGAAGGTAGATATGAGGATGATTAAGTTTAAAGGGATTTGCTTGATCACTCTCAATTTTAGGTGGACAGCATGCGTTATGATGCTTTCTCAGTGACATGACTCGCAATTTGTGTTGAAACCAATATGGGATGAGCAATACCAAGACACCCATGCCTTTGTTTGTCATATTATTGGAATTGATTGCAATGGCACCAAAGTTGGTATTGTTTTTAAGTTTGTAGTTGAAGAAATGGTACTTCACTACTTAGTGAAGAGAAGTTGGGATATATGCTGCAGATAAAAGGTGTAGCACAAATAAATGATCTCTAAACTAGACAACAACATGCATTAATAGGCATGAGAGTATTTAAATTGTCTCCACCTTTGAAGCATATCCGAGGCATTCGCTAGAGGGTCGACAACTCTTAACACTCCAAATAACAGGAGCTATGAACGTACACAAGGATAGTTGAGAGAAGTTAAACTTCTAAGATTAGCCAGTTTTGTAGTGATGAAAAGATGAGAACTAGGAGCCTGTTGTTCTGTGAGGCAAACTAAGTATACATAATTCTTAGGTCTGCATTGAATCTACCTTCTTAGACCCCTATCCAATGGGGGACTACACTAGGTGTGCTTGTCATTTCTTTGGTTTTTTTTGTTGTTGTCCATATGCCACAGGTGGAAAACAAAGAGAGGCAAGCTACTGATGTAGGGACGTCGAGAATGTTAAGTTTCTTGGCTAGCCACGTTTGAGTTCCATCCCCTTTGCTGTGAGCCATCCCATATTTATGAAAAACAACTTGTTCACAAAGATAACCATAAATATCTAAAGCCACTTCCAAATAAAAGCATTTTGCAATCACATATTGTAATCAAACGCAACCTAATGCTTTGGAGGAAACTAGAACCCAAAATCCGCCATATGATCTCTTCTCTCCTCACTCATTTTCCCATTCTGAATTTGCACCTTCTCAATCCTATTACTGACACCAACTAAAAGGTAAAAATGGATGGTAATGCAATATTGGGTAAGGCATCTTGAATTAATGTAGATCTCCTCCCAACATAAAAGCACCCTTTCTTTCTGGCAATTAATCTTTTATCAACTTTCTTGACTGTCTTGATAACTTCATTTTGCCTGCTTCTCTGCCACTTTTTCATTTGTTCGACCTTTCAATTGGAAGAATCTCTATGATTTTTTGGGTAAATTACAATGACCTCCCCTAAGATTTGAAAAAAATATATAGCTAATCTCATAATTCTGACATAATTATAATACAATGACCTACCTTCCACTAACTATTGAATAAACAGAACTAACAATAGTTATGAAATTACTCTTTTTGCCTTCATTATCTTGTATTTTAATGGTTAAATTTAATTGATGTCTCTAACAAAACAGCCTTTTATCCCAAGAGAAACCCTCCACTGTTTGTGAACCTTTCAAAGGCGAGGTTTAGTTGTTTGTAGAGGGAGACGAGACATGGGTTCGTCAATCTCTCCACCAATACTCCATTGCCAAGCTACCACCTCTCTAGTGGCAATCCATTGCCTCTCCAGCGCCACTCCACATCTACCCCACGTCACACTAGTGGTGATGGCTCATGCCAAAGTTTCTCTCTCAGATGCAAGCATGACAACGATCACCAATGGCCACCATCGCAGCGATAGCCACTCCCACCTAGCTCCACCACTCTTTTTCTGCCCCCTCTCATCTTCTCAAAATAACCTCCTAAACAAACCCCTCTCTCCTTTGCACTAACAATAGTTATGAAATTACTCTTTTTGCCTTCATTATCTTGTATTTTAATGGTTAAATTTAATTGATGTCTCTAACAAAACAGCCTTTTATCCCAAGAGAAACCCTCCACTGTTTGTGAACCTTTCAAAGGCGAGGTTTAGTTGTTTGTAGAGGGAGAGGAGACATGGGTTCGTCAATCTCTCTGCCAATACTCCATTGCCAAGCTACCACCTCTCTAGTGGCAATCCATTGCCTCTCCAGCACCACTCCACATCTACCCCACGTCACACTAGTGGTGATGGCTCATGCCAAAGTTTCTCTCTTAGATGCAAGCATGACAACGATCACCAATGGCCACCATCGCAGCGATAGCCACTCCCACCTAGTGGTGGCTAATTAAGGTGATTGGAGGCAATGGTGGTGATTGATTAAGGCATTGGGTTTGATGGTACTAATTGAGGCGATGGTGGAATTTGGGTAATTGTAGTAAGGGTGTTGTAGTGGCAATGGTGGTGGCGAGTATTGCCCATAGTGGGGTATTGGGAGAGAGGATGTGGTGGTTAGTAATGGTGGTCTAGCTACCATGGTGAGATGAAGAAGGGTGTTTGTTTGATGAGGGAGAGTAAAGAGATGAAGGGCGTTTGTTAGATGATGTGTGGATACAAGCATATTTAAGGGTCGAATAGGCCTTTCAGTATTAAAATGTGATGATGTCATTCTTTTCCATCTAGTAAACAGACGGTTGACTAACTAAAGGGCGTACCCAGTACACGAAACTCCCACTTAAGCGAGGTCTGGGGAAGGGTTGACTAACTATATGGGTAAAAAGTTCTATGTAAATTTGAATTTGTGGGATTACTGTGTAATTATGCAAAATTTGTGCAACTAGCTATGATTTCAAGTTAGACCTATAAAATGTTTTCCAAAATACTTTTATATGGTTAATGGTTAATGGTACTTGTGGAGGTTGGAATTACCTCACACTGATTGAAAGCAAGATAGGCTGCGAGCTTAGCAATCCTGCAAGATATTAAAGGCTTCCTAACCTGGGTGGCCAAGGGAACGCTCCAACAGAAAATTTAGGTTGTGTTTAGTAGAGCTTTAGAATTATGATTTGAAAATAGAGTTGTATTTTGAGTTTGAGTTTTGGAATTATGATTTGAGTGTGAAAAATTTATTTGGTTTTGAGTTTTGAAAAGAGTTTGAATTGAGTGATGTGGCATATGATATTTGATTTAAAAATTTACAACTCATAACCAAATTGAGCGATGTGACATACGATATTAATTCAAAAATTTACAACTCATAACCAAACACAACCCAAAATTCTATTCAAAGTTCATAAAAAATTAAAAAAAAAAAAATTCCCAAAATACTTTTTATTTAAAATATAAAAATAACATGTGCCAAAAAAAAAAAACATGAATACTGTTCTGGTCAACCGGCCGAACATCCGGGGGGACGTCTGGGAGAATGACCGGGTAGACGTGTTTTGAAAAGTGGGTGTGGATGCAATTTTTGAAAGTTGTAAGCAAACACCACGTGCAAACCAAAGCGTGGAATTAAAGTTCCAAAGCTCTACCAAATAGAGCCTACACCTCTCATATCCATCATCTATTGACAAACTAATTTAGCCTTTTCAAATCATAAACACAAGAAAATTTAAATTTATTGATACTATTGTTTCAATAAAAAGACATGTACATGCATGAACTTCTACAATTGACATGATGAGTTTTCATATTTTGACATTATTTCATAATAATCTCATTATCAATATCAATATTATCAATAATCAAATACATCATTTTCAATATATACCGCCAAACAATCATTCATCCATTAATCTCCCATTCGGTTACACAACCTAATACCAATTCTATATGAATTTTATTTTTGAAAAATCTCTTTCCACGGTTGCGAAATCAACCCCAATTCCACAAGCAAATAGATCAATGGATACGCGAGATCCTTCTTTGTCTCTACCAACTATCTACCAAGGCGTCATCAATTCCTTCTTTGGAAACTCATTGCTTGATGGCAAATAACATATGTAGTTTTGAACTTTTTTCAAATTCCATGTGGTTTACTGCTGAAAAATAAGAGGATTAACCTTTTTCTTGTAAAAACTAAAGAATGAATTAGTAGGATTCAAGTACTCCACACACAAAAAACTAGGTGTGTTCAGCTCGTGAAATGGTTGCTAAATTTTGGAAGTTGCATATCTCTGACTATGTAAAAGAGCTCAACAAGGTGGTGGTGTAATTTTATAATTTATGGTGCTTTGATTTGTGAAATCCCACAAAACTACAAATTTATCACTTTGTTAGGCCAACAAATTTATCTTTACCGGACAAGTGCCACCGATCCAACTGGAGTTACGAAGTTTTTAAGAGAAGAAAAGAAGTGGCAAAGAAGTGCTGCTGAAAAATAAGAGGATTAACCTTTTTCTTGTAAAAACTAAAGAATGAATTAGTAGGATTCAAGTACTCCACACACAAAAAACTAGGTGTGTTCAGCTCGTGAAATGGTTGCTAAATTTTGGAAGTTGCATATCTCTGACTATGTAAAAGAGCTCAACAAGGTGGTGGTGTAATTTTATAATTTATGGTGCTTTGAGTTGTGAAATCCCACAAAACTACAAATTTATCACTATGTTAGGCCAACAAATTTATCTTTACCGGACAAGTGCCACCGATCCAACGCGCAAGGAGTTACGAAGTTTTTAAGAGAAGAAAAGAAGTGGCAGAGAAGTGGGAAAAGAAAAAATTGTAGGAGTGTTTTGTCTTCTAATGGTAGAATAGTGATTTGATTTGTTTTGAAGTTTCAGCAGGGGTTCAACTCTCTTTCTCAGTTGTGACAAATTGGTTAAAG